TTTTTTTTTTTTTTTTTTTTTTTTTCAAAAACGATCGACGAGCAAATTGTTAACTCCCATCGACGCTAAAACGGAGGGTTAATTAAATTCTCCAGCGCCAACTCTCGATAATTCAAACGAAAAAAAATAAATAAATAAATAAATACAGCGGATCATCCATATTGGCGAGGATGTTAGCATAGGGAGGAAAAGGCAATATTCCAAGAGCCCTCCTCCAACTCTTGGAACTTGTGGATGATCACATCCCAACAACCCACACACACTGGAATCCTAGATTTTCACCAAATAGTGCAAAGCGCAGATATTTTTTCTTTCCATTAGCATAAGAGGGGAAAAAAAAAGCCACACGGAATCGCTCGATTTTTGCTGATCACTACATAAGTACGTGTATATATATATAAACGGCGCCGACCCATTTCCCGCCCATTACCGTAAAACACGTGCGCCCCCACTTTTTTTTTCCATTCACTTTATTAAAAATGCAAGCTCCTCTTCCCGCTCGTTTTTAAATATTTATTCGCCCCCTCGTCGCTTGCTCTGCAAAAAATTCACACGCTCGGATTCTTCTTACGTAAGCGTGTAATTTTTTTTTTTTTTCCATCCTTTGGAATCGAGGAAACGAAAAGAAATTGGCCGATGGAACGTAAATTTTATAATTTTTTTCTTCGTCCGCGAACACGCGAAGGGAAACGAAAGAACAAAAAAAAAGTACTCCCATTGTGATGTCCAAGAGTGCCCGTAAGTTTTCCACTCCCATTGTTCGACCTTTGTATACTTGTACACAAAAGTGTACGTTCAAAAAAAACCAGGCCTTCGCGGGCATTTTCTTTCCAGCCAATCGATATCCCCTTAACCTCTAAAAATTTTTTCTGCCGAAGCAGACGGCACGTGCGGGGGGACGGATGCGCGTCGTCATAAACAAAGCGTTCACAAACCGTCTAATCGGAGTCCGTTGCATCAGTTGCTCCACGAAGAAAATGGAAAAAGCCGGGGAAGTGCTGCAGGAGGGCCAGGCGAAGCTACTCCTCGACAAGAAGAACATATTCTACAACCCGGTGCAAGAGTTCAACCGCGACCTCAGCATAGCGGTACTGAGCCAGTACTCGAAGGAGAGGAGCGCCGAGTCCGGCCTGAGGATCTTGGAGGCACTGTCGGCCACTGGACTCCGGAGCATAAGGTACGCCAAGGAGGTGCCGGGTGTCGCCGAGGTCCTGGCGAACGACATCGCCGCCGAAGCTGTGGAGTCGATCAGGAGGAACGCCGCTTACAACGAGGTCGGGAGTATCGTGAAGCCGAGCCACGAAGACGCCACCATGGTCATGTACCAGAATCGAAAGACAAAGTTCGACGCTGTTGATTTGGACCCCTACGGGTGTCCCTCAATATTCTTGGACGGTGCTGTGCAGTGCTTGAACGATAATGGACTGTTGTTGGTGACGGCCACCGACATGGCCATTCTGGCCGGCAATTTTCCACAGACGTGTTACACAAAGTACGGCTCCGTGTCCTTGAAGTCCAAGGCCTGCCACGAAATCGCTCTGAGGATACTTTTGCAGTGCATAGCCGGCCACGCCGCGCGCTACGGCAAGTGCATTGTCCCTTTGTTGTCTGTGAGCGCTGATTTTTACATCAGGGTGTTTGTGAAAGTTTACACGAGTAAAAGTGCTTGCAAATTAAACACCAGCAACTTGGCTATGGTGTACCAGTGCGTAGGCTGCGAGAGTATGACATTACAGCCTCTGGGAATCACCACGGATAAGAACCAGCAGAAGCTGCCACAGGTGCCCGCTGTCGACAAGCTGTGCGAGTTTTGTCAACACAAGCATCACTTGGGTGGGCCAATATGGATTGGACCTCTGCACGACAAGGACTTTGTTCACAGGATATTAGCTGAGATTGACAGCGAGGATGACAACGGTACAAAAAAGCTTGGCACAATCATAAGGATCAGAGGAGTATTGCACATGGTGTACGAGGAACTCGAAGTACCATTGTACTATCAGCTGGACAGGCTGACCTCTACTATAAGAGTCGTTGTTCCTCCCATGGTACAGTTCAGATCGGCCCTTTTGAACGCTGGCTACAAAGTGTCGTACTCGCACGCGAACAAGACTTCGATAAAGACCGATGCTCCGAATCACGTGCTCTGGGATATAATCAGGGCATGGGAGAAGGAGCACCCGGTTAAGCGTGAAAAGCTGCCCGATAAGAGTCCTGGACTCGCGATATTGAACGGCATCTCGGTAACGAAAGTGTCTTTTGAGAAACACGATGATGCCGTACCTTTTTCCCAACAGAAGAAACTCAGACGGTTCCAGGTCAATCCAGTTGCCTTTTGGGGTCCAGGATCCAAATCAACGGTCATGATGACTCAGGAGGCGCACGACAAGTACTTGAGCAAAAAGAAGAGGAACCAAAACAAAAAGAGGAAAAAAGAAGAGCAGCACAGCGCCGATGACCCATCGAACGAAGAGAAGAGGGGAAAGATCACGGAAGAGGACGCTTGTGCATAATTGTATTAATTCGATGTAATATTCTGTAAATATATTTCTCATTAAGTTTTTCATATTTTAATACTCGCATCGTCACTCCGCCGCGTAAATTAAACAATTGTTAAAAAAAACGTTTCAAGTTGATGAATAAAATAATTCAATTTGATTTTTAGAAAAGGCTCTTCTCTTATTTTGTTGCATCAGCTCCTATAGCGACAAGACCAGCTCATCTTATTCAAAAAAAAAGAGCCTTGAAAGCTCCTGGAAAAGTAAGACTCGTCCAAAAGTGCGTGCACTTGAAAAAGGAGAAGATAAACGCCCCAATGGATGAGCACGGGAAAAACCACGAGAGTTTTCAGGACACGTATATACGTACATCTTGAGGGAAAAAAAAGGGAGTCGTTCCAAATTTTCGAGGAGGGGTGGTAAAGAGGATTAGTGCGATGTTCTCGGGGGAGAGTGTGTAGGTTGCTTGCACAACCGGGTCTTCGTCGTCGACATGATAGTCGGGGCGACTGGCTTTTATGGGCATGTTGAATCACCGGATGTAATGCGATGTCTTACAAATTGGGGGGGGGGTCGATCGCGTACAAGAGCTTACCGCCATACGTGACCGGAAACGGCGAGTTTTCTTACTTATTTTCACGGGTGAACGTATAATTTCCCAACTAGGCCATTCAATTAACATTTTGGCCGCGTTGCGACTTTTTTCTTCTTCTTCTCTTAATTACTCGTATCGCTGTTTGCTCAAATGCAAAACCGCGCACCTAACGAGCCCCGCGAGAATCCACCCACACAGACCACCGAACAAAGTTTAAATTCCTCCTCGCCTAATCTCCTTTTATCTATTTGTATATTCGTATAAATAAATGAAATACCGGAGTAGTCGTGGTAATGTCACCCCACAACCAATTAAAACAAACTCCAACTGATTAGGGGGCATACACAAGCTAAGATCTACTTATGGTTATACTGTACTGCTTTTGTAATCTTCCGCTCTATAAATATACTACAAATACTTTAATCCCCTGTTCCAGCAAATGAATGTCCATACCACTTGTGAGGATTAATGTACAGTCGTACAAGAATGTGAAACCAAGTGGCTGAATTTATATGAATTATCACGCTTCTTATCTTCTCTCAAGGCAGCACTGATTAATTTATCACCAGAGCAAAAAGTACATGTGCGAAAAATATGTGTATCTTCTTTTTTCACCGTTTTTGCAACTGTACCTATAGTTTTTTTTTTTTTTTTATACTCTTTGGACTAATTTTTACAACACAAAGTAAAGAAGAAGTGTAAAAAGTTTTCTTTCGGGATAACACACCTATACCCAAACCCAGCTCCATTTGTCTTGTCAAAAGTACACGTACTTAACTCCTTACCACCAGGTCTTCGTGACCAAACCCAATAATGATCAAACGGTCATTTGCATAATCACGCGGATTACATGCTCATTGTCGATCCGGGGCCGTTAACGCGATGATTATTAATTATATCGGCGTTACACACGCCAAGACCCCCGAACATCTCTTGGCGCCCGGCCAAGTCTCCTCCTCTGCACATGTAGCAAAAAGCTCCGCGGGATGTCGAAGGCCACACACTATATGTAAAGTAGACTCTAAGCGCTCGTTTCTTGTTCCAAGCGTCGCATTAAAAAAATATATTGTTTGGTAAAACGAAAAACAACAACGTGAGCAATGATTACCTGTTTACGCTTTCGCTAATCGAGTACTCGGACTCATTGCGGAAGCCGCACATCCTCGAGTCCAGTCCGACGACGCTTGTGCAAGCTTTGGCGACGAGTTCAAAGGCTTCGCCGACTGGAACACGCAACGGCGATTTTACAATTGCATTATAGAAAAAGAGAGGGATGAACTTGGTGGGGGAGGAAAAAAAAAGGAGACGCGTGCCAGGGGCGCTGTCGATGGAAAGATTTACCGATCGTCCCGAAATCGTTGTTGGAGCACTCGAGCTCGAGTTTGGAGAACTTGACGCGACCGGAGGCCAAAACTTCCGCGATGCCCATCCCACCGTCGGCTCCCAAGCTGCAACCGCTGATGTTCAGATGTTCCAGGGAAGTGGATCTCAAGAGCACTGGAAAATAATAATGCGGTTTTTACTACCCACCCCCGTTTTTTTTTTTTTTTTTTTTTTTTTTTCCTGCATAGCGTGTATACCGGAGATGTTTGGGCGAGGAACTGTACAGGCGTGTTATTTATTGTCGAATCGAGAGTGTTTTTCTCTGGTTCTGTGCGAAGAGCTTGCGTGCTGATGTAATCGTTGGGTATGAGAGGGATTATGCGAAAAAAGTTGTTTTCTGGGTCTGGAAAAACGTAACTTTACCTTTTTTTGGGTATGGCAATTTTATGGATTTTTAAAAGGAAAATTCTTTCTTCACGCGTAAAGTTGCTGACAAATTTTTTTGTTCGTCACCATTTTACGTAACAGTGCAATACATTTTTGCAACAAAATGTTTTAAGTAGTAGTCAAATAAAAAAAATTTTTTTTAACAAAAGTAATGCGGTTCTTGAAAAAATTTTATACTGCAAAACAATTAAAAAAATATCTGTGCCCAAGTCTGCCCCTCTTTTGGACCTAAACAATTTTTCCAACGCGTAATTCAAATGTTGTGCTGCATTAGGTACTTTTTTGTTTTTGAATCTACGTTGCGTCAATCCAAGAATTTATATTTGATTTTTTTTTTTTTTTAGTCTTCTTGATTCATTGTAAGATGGTAATTGTTGTAAATAGTTTTAATCTAGTACAACAGTTATTCAGTAAAAAAAAATTCGCGAGTACGCAAAAACGTACACTATGAAAGTTTGCAATAAATAAGTTAGTACAAAGTAAATTAAATAACTTAAAAAGTACATAATCTGTAGTACTACGTGGAAGATTCAGAAAATCTTGTCACACGATCAAAAATTTTCTCGGACAATTGCGATAAAAAACTGTTTTAGATGAAACCACTTGGTTTTTTTTTTAGCATCATGTCTCGCGATACTTTTTCAATTTTTAATAAAACAGATGAGAAAATCAAGTAAAAATCATCAAGTTACCGATCCGCACTTCTCTCAAGATAATTTTTGATCAGACCTGTACGGGTACTTGTATAAGTTTGAGTTATATTAAAAAAAAAAAAATACATGGGAGTGTACAAGCGTAACAACGTGATTGAAACAATGATGAGGGTGAATGAAAATTAAAAAAAAAAAAAAAAAGAAATACAAACGAGCAGCAACATGCAGAGCACCGTCATCGCCGAGCGGATTAAGCCTAAGGTCGAGATGTCTGATGCCATTATCGCCGCGAGCCCCAACCGCCCGAGGACCGTCGCTGTCATCGAGTATACCAAACACAATGCCGGCAAGGCCTTCCGAGCCGATGCCGCAGTTGACGAGCCTCAACAATCTCGGCTGACGCTCGGCCAGAAATCCACCGATCGCCAAGCCACCGGCGTCTCCCAGCTTGCAGTGCGACAAATCAATCTCCTGAACCTGTGTGCAAAAAAACAAAACTATGGTTATATTACGTAGTTGTGTATAGGTGTGTGTACTCCTAAAAAAAAAAAAAAAAAAAAAATAGAAACCAAATTTATGCGCGCGGGTAATGAATAATCGATAAAACTTTCGCCCCAACTTGGATGAAGGCAGGAAAACTTTTAGTTGGCGTATATACCCTCGTTGGTTCTGGAATTCGCATTAAAATCTCATCCGCAGTGCTCAGACTCTGCGGCAACGGTCTATAATTGAAATCAATCCTGCGAGTTATAACTTGGGAACAATTCAACTACGCCGAAAATCGCGAGGTTTTGTTAAGTATTATATATATTCTCGTCTGGTAGGGTATGCTTGGGAGAATCTTTATCTCTTCACATAAATATATACGAAGCGTAAAAGTTTTTTCAAGTTTAATTGATTTTTTTTTTTTAGTTTACAGTGAAAAGAAGTGAAAAGAAAAATAAAAAATTATTAATTACGCACAGTTATTTTATTTATGGATTTAATAAACGATAGCAAAATTTTTTACTCATCATTTACAATAAAACGTAACCAAATAAGTGGAATGTATATTTTATAGTATATTAAATTTTACATTGAAACATTTAAAGTCTGTATGTATACACAACAGAAATTTGTTTTTTGGTGACGTAAAGATTCGTTTCGATATCAGTTTCAAGAGAATGTCATTAGAATGTTTATCATTGTTAGATAAAATTTGGAACTTTAGCCGTAAATTAATTAAAATGACGTCATGTGCGTTCAATGAATATAATTTAAAAACTTTTTTTATCTACATTTAATTCTACAGGTAGTGTAAGTAATCGTCACTTCAAATGTTTCTACAGTAATTATTAACGGAAGCAGTATAACGTTTTAAATACGGTAGTAGTAAAAGTGTAAGTATACGGTTGTCGAAAAAGTATCTTGTTGTGAAATATTTTTTCGCGTAGATAACCCCGTACGTATGTGTAAGAGAAGGAATTTTCAAAAACATTTGTGTACCATAAGTGCAAGCAAACCAAGAAATAAACACACGACCTACAATTAACATTCCTCCTGCGCAGTTGTATGTATGTTGTGTACACGTACAAACAGTTGGAAGCTTACGTTGGAGTTAACGGCGAGCCCTTGGAGAATAGCAGCTGCTCTCGGCTGGTCCAAATAACTCCTGGTGAGACTGAATTTACTCAGATGCTCGAGATTCTTCACTCCGCGGCTGATTCGCAAGGCATCTTCTATGGAAAGTCTTTCAAAGAAAACAGTAAAAGAGATTTCATCCGTGATTGCTCATTTGTATATACGTATGGTAATTTTATTACGTTAATGAAAATTTTGTTCCACATATCGCGTCAGAAACAAATTTAAAATATCCTATTTGTGACAAATAAATTTTATTCCGATTGAACTCGTTTTATTTATTGTGTTGGGAAATAATATAACATTATTATGAACGATAATAATAATAATAATAATGATGATGATAACAATAATAAAAATAAAGGTAATGATAAAACAATTATAAATAGATTAACCAAGGTCGTTTAACTTTTTTTTTCTTCTAACTTTGAAAATTTGTATTTCT